CAGCCAGGAAGGTTCGGAGTGGCTTCCGATGCAGCAGCAGGTAACTGATGCATACAGGATGCTCTGAACACCCCTCCCGGCAGAGACCCACAGTCCACCCCATGTGGTGTCCAGAGAGGGCAAATCTCCTCCCCCATCAACTGTGTGGTTTCTGCTGGCGTCTACAACTGCCATGTGACACGTGGAGCACAGCCCTTTCCTTCCGAATCCAACCTACATTTCGTGCTCTCCATTAGGGGCAGGTCTGTGGGCAAAATGATGACCGTAGCAATAGACATGCTGAACTGGTGGTGCCTGCAGGCAGTCCAGTGATGACGTCATGGACAGGGGGATGAGGAGCTTCCCTGCTGGAATCCTGGCCCTGGTTGAGATGACTCAAGACAATTGTAATGGGGTCAACATTCTCACAACAAGACAGAGTGAGCTCAAGTCCAAATATAAAAAGAGCACGTGCGGATTTATAACCAAGGAGCAGGGTGTGGAAGCTGGTGAAGAAAAAATTACTAAGCAGAGCCATCAAAGGTAGGGGTTTCTGGATAAACCGACCAGACAGGATCAAAGACAGACATCAAAGGTGAGGCGTGAGGAACCTGATCAGATGTCAAGGGTGATCAGGTCCCAAGGACAGCAGGATTCTCCCTAAAATGACATAGCAGGATTCCTTCCTAAAACTGGGCAATGCAGAGCTGGCAGGTAGGAGCTGGAGACCAAGGTTGAGGCCTAGTGGAGAAGAAGGCTCAGAGGAGCCTTAAAGGTTCATTAGAGAAAGTCTTGTCACTGGATCCAGCCCCTCTGTGACAGGAGGAGAGGGCAGGCAGGGCCACAGGAGCCAGCAGGGCTGCCCTGATGGCCTCTGGCTCCAGCTCCAGCACCCACTGATTGAGTTTCACAGGATTCCAGGCAGGAACAGGAACCACTCTCCATAGCCACTGCACTCTGCTAAAGGTTACACAAACAGTGACAGGGAAGTCCCAGCGGTGATCTGAATGGGGATTAGAAAGGAAACTCTGACCACCCAGAGATGCCAAGAGGATTGCTCTCCCCTCAGAGCCATCTGGTTTCTTCTGGGCCAGGCCCCTGCAGGCTGTGACCAGGACGTTGGGGTAAGTCCCCGGGGCACCAGCAAGCAGCCTGAGTTCCCAGGGCCCTCTCCCTGTCCTCTCCACTCGGCTGTGGTTCTCTAGCCACTGGCTCTGCTCGGAAGAATGTACTCCTTGAGAAAATAAATAGTAACATTGTAATCTAAAATCCTAAGCGCTGTTTACACATTGATCCCTGAGCGGAAACTTCCCAAGGATTCTCTTTCCGCCCATAAAGCGCCAAACTACCAGACCTCAGATCCTGGGCTCTGCACTCCCTTTTCCTGCAGGGCTTTGGACGTGCTTCCCGGCGAGCACCACAGTTCATAATAACGTGGCCTCATCCCCATCGGAGCCCAGATGCCTACCAATGGCGGCCACTGGTCCAGGAGCATCTCAGGTCCCCCACAGCTGGGAGCAGGGAAGGGTAAGGAGGAAAGGCATGTGTAAGGGACAAGCTTGACCCCAGAGAACTCCCAGCACTCCATAAAGAAGGATTCTGGGCTTCCCCTTTGAGAAGCCACCAAATCCCATGGCTGCTCAGTCTCAGCTCCTACCATAGACACTGACTGTTAATTGCTCAAAACCCAGATGTGCAGATCTCAACTCTTGGCCAACTTGATTTAACCACTTGCACTTTAGGTGATGTTTATGTCTTTAGGTATTTATTGGTTATAATATTGTTTAGTGTTCCCCTTTATTGCTTATTTATTATAGAGGACTTCTGTCATTCACCTAATTTCTCACTCCACTAATTCAATCATAGGATCAAGTTACACACGCAGCCTGGGAGAACACGGCTTTCTCTTTCATCCCCTGGCAGAAGGGAAACATGCCCCCTCCTGGGCAGCTGGACTCCCCCAGATTACAAGGGTGCTGGAGGCCCCAGGCTTGGTCCTGAGTCCATTGTTTCTCTCTGGGTCCCTGCCAGCCCGTCCTTGGAGCTGTAAACTATAGGAACTAAGGCTCCGTCTTTTTTTTTTTTTTTTTTTTGAAACGGGATCTCACTGTGTCGCAGTGTGGTCTGGAACACCTGGGCTCAAGAGATCTTCCTGCCTCAGCCTCAAGAGTAGCTGTACAGGCCTGCCAAACCACTGGACTACTATAAATTTTGACCACACTTAAATGTCACTGCAGAATCAAACTTATCTTGCTGGTTTTGACCCACCAGACACTCCCATTTACAAAGCAGCTCACCTTTCCATATGCATGACACATAGAGAAGGCTAAAGATTTTTCCAAAGTCACCCAGCAGCTGGAGCAGCTGTCCATCTACCCTAACCTTCCACTTACCATCACCCACACTGGATGCATCTCTTGTAGCTCCTGAGAGTGCCCTACGCGGGGGTCTGATCCACAAAGATTAGAGTGGTCACTGTATCAGGCCTGTTGACCCCACCTATAGCTCGAGTCCTGACAGCGGATGACCACCGTTGGTGGCATCACATACAGGAAATAGGCCAGCACTCCAGCTCCCACCCCACACTCCACCCACCATCATATGCCTGTTATGTGGATGACCTGCACCTCCTTCCTAATGACAAAAGATGGGAGATATTTGTGTGTATTTCAGCTTACCCTCTGCACAACACATCCTCCTGACACTCGAGCCCCAGTGGTCAGGGAAGGTGGGAGCCACAGAGGAGACCCAACTCCCACACTTGGGAGATGACCATTCTGCTCACAAGCACCTGGCCAGGGGCTGCCCTCTCTTTCCCTCTCTGGGAATCTCTCCCCATGTCCTGTCTAACTAGGAGGCATATGTGCAGCCCTGTTTGAAGACCATCCCTCCCTCACCCAGCAGTAACCACCATCCCTGGGCCACCTGCTGTATCTGCTGGGCTGCATGGCTTTTCTGATGCTGGACTCACAGCGGGGTGAGATGGTCACTGGGCCTTGGCTAACAAGGTCCCCTGTCCTAATACTGAACATGAGCACCTATGAGTAATATTTTTCCCACTGCCGGGTTCCTGCTAATCCAGCCCCAGCCATGGCTGAGCTCCAGGTTTACAGCAGGTCTGGGCTGACCCTGGCTTACTCTCACCTCCACCACTTCCAGGAGAGTCCTCTGGGTGCCCTGCAATGGCCCAGGGTTTCCTGGTGTTTCTGGCCAAGCTGCCACTTCGCCATAAGGGCATTTGCCACAGGGTCACCTTCAGGTGTGGAGGGTGGGGTTGAGAGAACAAAGGGAGCAGCTGTCTGTTCAGAGCCTCCTTCCACCCTCCCCACTCCTGGAGTCACTTTCCAGCCCAGGCCCGCAGCATCCCAAGCTGGGGGCTTTGTCAGCCAACAGGGCACCCAGTTGATCAGGTCCTCTCAGTCTGGGAAGAAGCAGCACTCACAATCCTGGCAATGCAGCAATGGGGGCCTCTGGAAAGCCATGCTGAGCAAAGGTTGAAGACACACCTGGACTCGCTCTGCGGGACTCCATTCCTGGGAAGCTCAAGGACTGGTGACAAAGGAGTCTACAGGGCTGGATAGGGGCTGCCAGGGTAGGCATGAGGGTGAGCTGCAGGCGCAGGAGGACACTATCCGGGGCAAGGCAGATGTCACAGGTCTGGACAAAGTGGTAACACAGGTGTATGCATTTATGAAATCCCCCAGATTGGACACATACAATTAGGCATTTTATTGTATGTAAATTCTACCTCATTCAAAGTGATTTTTTAAATATTACATGAGTTTTCCGGGCACAGAGGACCAGCGCCGGCACCATGTCTCCCAGAGGGGAGGAGCAAGAGAAGTTCTTGGGCTCCCACTTTCATCCCGCAGCTGCTGCTCCCTCTCCCAACACCCCCACTGGCTGCCAGGGGTCTCCGTGCACCTTCCACCCGGCCCAACCCACAGTTACCATGAGACTCCAGGTCATTCCCTTCCCTGCTCACACGTCCTCCAAGAGCTCTAAATTATTGATCACCACTCCCCCATCCTCCCACACACCCTAAGGGGCTGGGCTATGCAGTACCACAGCCACCAGCAGCCACTTGTGGCCACCGGGCACTTGAAAAGGGGCCAATCCAAAATGACACTTGATCTAACTGTAAAAAATACACAGGGAACTTCAAGACATTACACACACACCAAAGAATGTAAACTAGCTCCTTAAGAATAGTTCTGATGTGTTGAAAGTATTTTGGATATATTAAGTTAAAGTAGAAATACCAAAATTACTTTCAGCTGTGTCTTTTAACTTTTTCAAATGTGTCTCCTAGAAAGTTTTAAATTTCTCCTGGGTTTCCGTCACATCTCTGTTGGATGGCAGCTCTGCAAGGTCATGTCCATGGCTCCATTGCCCAGACTGCCTGGTGCAGGGGGAAGCTGGCGACAGGTTTGTTTATTGAATAATGAGGAGTTATGAAAAGAGAACCCAGTGACCTTTTCCCAAAGGTTAGTTACTTTATGTTTGGCAAAGAAGTTCCCCAGAACAGGGCATGGACAAGGTCACCTCGGAGCTTCTGAAACAGCTCCCTGCTCCAAGAATTCCCAGACCGTGACCACGTGCTCCTGGGTGTCCCTGACATCTGAAGACTTTAGGAGGCCAAGCCCTGTATTTCTCACTTTATGAGGAAATAGGCGGTCACAGCATTTCACAGCCCGGGCAGCAGTGTCACCTCTCTGGAATCCAGGTTGAGCCAAGCTTTCCAGCACTGGAGAAAAGGGGCAGGGCTGGGGGGAGGTTGCAGTCAGGACAGGAGTCGGGAGCAGGAGGAAGAGGAGGAGGAGGAGGAGAAGGAGGAGGAGGAGGAGGCGTGGGAGGAGCAAAGGGAACTTAGGGAGGGAGAGAGGTGGTTGGGGGTGGAAAGGGAGATGGAGACAGAGAGGAGGGGTAGAAAGAGGAGGAGGAGCCAGGGGCGGGGTCAGGGAGCAGGTGGGGTTGGGGGTACCCAAGTAGGATAAATGCACAGCTGCCCTCTGGCCTGGGCTTCCTGCCTCAACCTCGTGCTTCTTTGCTCTCAGGGAGATCCAGCTCCTTGCTCTGTGTCCCAGTAGACCATGGCCTGGCCTATGCGTGCCCTACTGCTGCTGCTGACTGCCTTGATGGTGGTCCTGGCCAGGAGTGCCTCGGCCCAATCTAGGAAGACCTCGTCAGGCGACATCCATGCTGCAGACCTCAATGACAAGAGTGTGCAGTGCGTCCTGAACTTCACCATCAGAGAGTATAATAAGGACATCAGTAAGGATGAGTACTACAGCCGTCCCCTGCAGGTGATGGCTGCCTACCAGCAGGTAGGTGCTGCCACCACCCTGGGGGATCCTGAGTCCCAGCTGGGTGTGTTGTCCCACCCCTGGGATCATTCTCAGCAAATCAACATTATCTAAACCTCAGGCTCATTCAGCTTTCCCTGACTGTCTGCTGATGGCCTTCATGCCCTAGGACATTCCCGGGCCATGAGTGCAGTTCAGCCCTGTCCCATCCCCTCCTCCTCTTTTAACCTGCAGCAGCCACTGTGTCTGTGCCGTGACCGTGCCATTTCCTAGGGTCCAGCAGGTGTGGGTGTAGACTCTGCTGACTCTGGGTGGGCTTGGTGCTGTTCAGGATGAGATCCAGGCCATGAGGCTCATCCTCCTCCCTGAGTCCTCTCCACAGAGGCCACACCAGAGCCTGGCTCCTTGTCCAGCAGAGCCCTGCTTCCCTCCCAAGTCACGCCCCTGGACACAGCCCCTTAGGGCTAGCGGCCTCCACCCTCAGGCCAGCTGACCACCCCCTACAGCCCAGAACCGCTGGGTTCCTGCTGAAGTGGAGCACGCCTGCCCCTGCCTCTGCCAGCTGATGCAGTGTTAGACCTCAGCCAGATGAGGACAGACAGCAGTCACCCAGCAGAGCGGAGGGGGTGATTGAATCTGGAGGGAGAGAGCTTCAGCAAGCAACCAAGCCCAGCTTGACCTGTGTCCCATGACAGAGCAGCAAACAGTGACACAGTGACCACAGGGCTGTATGGGCCGCCAGCCCTTAGAGCTCCTCTATCTTCTCTTGGAAAGTCAGAGGAGTCCAGACCAGCCCTATTTCTCCTCCTGCAGCCTTCTCCCTGCACATGAGGGGCACTCCCTAGTGCCATGGTCCCTGCTGGCCTGCACCTCCCTCTTAAGTGTGACACTCACTTGGAGTGAAGCACAGAATGATGTAGATCGTTGGGCCCTGGAGCCTGTTTTACAGAGGAGCCGACTGACACCGGAGGGATCACAGGGCTTGTACGTTTTTCTGCAGGACTTGTGTGTGGTTCCACATGGCGAGGTCTAGCACCCTCATCCCAGGGTTCCTCATCCCATGCTTCTCCACTGTCTGACAAGTCATGTCTGGGAGTGGCACTGTGCAGGGAGAGCATTCAGTTCTCTTCTGAAGTTGCAGCTGTAAGACATGCAGGTGTGTGACTCATTTGAGAACTATTGCCTCCAAAATCACACCTGGAACGGAGGCATGTGGGAAGCAATGTTTATTGGCCTAAAACATCAATGTATGTGAGCATCTCATTTCCTCCTGATAAATGAGGAAAAATACCTCTGGCTTAAATGATGGGAATAAGATGCTCTGTGGACTGAATGCCAGGCGCTGGAAGTTAGCTGAAATTTCATCATCAGGTAGCAGAATTCAGTTAATTATTTGCTGTGGGAAGGAGCATTTACTTGGTGTTTAGTCCCTGCCCTGCAAGCCTGGCACCAGGACTGTTTCTTTGTCCCACCTGGCTGGCTCCCCAGAGCTGTGCCTTCTGTTCTTAAGTCCAACAAAGGGGGTTTTAGGCCCTGGCTTCCACCTGCCCTGCCCCTGTTTCTCCTCCTACTGGGCTGCATGAGACAGCTTGCTTGCCACAGCCACTCTGAGCAGATTAGAGGGAATTAAATGCCTGTTGGCTGAGAAGCCCTGGACCTGCCCCAGCTCACCCGACACCAGCCTCTCCAAGAACACAGGATTTCTTCTGAGGTCTCGGCTCAGGGCAGAGCCACACTTTCCTTGTCATCTCCTCACCAGCTCGGGCACTTTGAGTTGCAATTTCCAGTTCCTTGGTTCTTGGGCCCTCACCCCTGTCCACACCATTCCATCTGCACATACTATATAAACACAGTACCCCTGCCAGCCAGTCAGTAGGAGAAGGTGGCTTGTGTGCCTTTTGGATAACAGTGCGGGCAGCATCAAGCCCCAGACAAGCCCAGTGACTCAGTCACAGGGAAGTGCCTGTGTGTGCATGAAACTGACAGCATGCTGTCCCTGCTTCCTGCTCTTCCACGCATGTAGGTCGTGGGTGGGGTGAACTACTACTTTAATGTGAAGTTTGGTCGAACCACATGCACCAAGTCCCAACCCAACTTGGACAACTGCCCCTTCAATGACCAGCCAGAACTGAAAGAGGTATGTGCCTGATGTGGGTCGGGGCATCAAGAACTGCAGAGCAGTATGTGTGTGTGTGCGTGTGCGTGCACCTGTACTCCTGTACATGCTTTGGAAGGCATGTGTGCATGTGTGCAGACACTTGTAAAGCCATGTACGCAAGGATGTGTTCATGTGTATGGGAAGACGCATGTGTGCTTGGCATACATGGGCAGATGTGTATTGTGAAGTGAATGAATGTGTGTGTGTGCATATGGAGTTTTGTGTGTGCATGAATGTATGTGTGGGATGGTATACACACATGGGTATGCATGTGGAAAGGTGCATATGTGTGCATACATGAGGAAGGTGCACAGGAGTGTGTGTGCATGTGTGTGGATGTGTGAAGGAGTATGTGGGTTCACGCATAGATTCGGGTAGGTGAGGGTTGGTGTGAGTTTATATAGATGCCTTTGTGTGTGCAGATGGAGTGGTGTGGAGAGGGGTGATGAATTTGATTTGCTAGGAAGACTTTAACTTGGTAATGGTTACTGGGAGGTCAACTCTGCCTGCTTTGGGGTGTTGCCTATTGGACTGGAGGAAGCAGGTGCTGGGCTGGGTTCTGGCCAGAAAGAAGAGGCTCTGTCTAATCCCAGCCTCAGGCACCTACCTGTAGCCACAGTCACTCTGAGCAGATTAGAGGGAATTAAATGCCTGTTGGCTGAGAAGCCCTGGACCTGCCCCAGCTCACCCAACACCAGCCTCTCCAAGAACACATGATTTCTTCTGAGGTCTCAGCTCAGGGCAGAGCCACACTCTCTTTGTCATCTCCTCACCAGCTCGGGCACTTTCAGTTGCAATTTCCAGTTCCCTGGGTTCTTCCCTCTGGCCCCTCTTAGTGCTGGCCTGGGTGCTGGGGGTAGAAGGAGCTGGGGGAAGTGAGCCGCCTCCCCCTGCCCTGCACCCCTGGGGCTCCCGAGGCATTGCACAGGCTGCTCCTCACAGGGCTGTGCTGGGACAGGAATCCTGCAGGCTGGGGTGGGGGCCCAATGCCACCTGGTGACTTGGAGCCTTGGGAGGGGCGATGGAATAGTCACTGCCCAGTTGGGTTCAGTGCCCTGGAACTTGGCAGGGGTGGGTCGGAGTCAGGGGGCAGTGTCTCATCTCCATCCATTCTCACCCCCATTCTGATGCCCCATTCCTGGGTATCTTTGGCTTTAACTGTAACGCACACTCATTTTCTCCCTCTCTTTCCTTTCACAGGAAGAGTTCTGCTCTTTCCAGATCAATGAAGTTTCCCAGGAGAATAAAATTTCCATTCTGAACTACAAGTGCCGGAAAGTCTAGGGGTCTGTGCAAGGCCAGCCACACTGACCACCTCCTACCCCCACCCCTGTAGTGCTCCCACCCCTGGACTGGTGGGCCCCGCCCTGGGGGAGATCTTCTCATGCGCCTGCACCAGGAGACAGAGAGAGAAGGCGACAGGAGGCCTTTGTTGCTCAGCAGGGAGCTCTGCCCTTGCTCCTTCCTTCTTGCTTCTCATAGCCCCAGTGTGCAGTGCACACTCTCCCAACTCCTGCAATTAAACAGTAGCATCACCTCCCTCAGTTCTTGGCTGTCTGGGGACGTGCTCACAGGCAGGGTTTCTAAAGTTCCCTATGAAGCCTTCTTGTCCTGCTGGTGTGGAGATCAGAGGAGTATCTAGGAATTGACGTGGCCACAGTAAGGCTGTCAGGGAAGCAGGTGCTTTAGGAGACCTGAGTCTCAGAGCAGGGAGACAGCAGCCAGGTGCTGGGAACCCAGGCCTTCAACTGCAGCAGCCCCTGGTGAGGGGGTCAGGGAGAGCAGAGTGCCCAGGCTACTGGCCCCAGAAGCTGGGCTGCTGGTTTGGCCTGAGCTCCTGGTCAGACCAGGAGGAGGGGGCTGGTTGTGTCCACAGGCAGGGGCCAGGCCTTGGTGGAGCTCACCAGGCCGTAGATTCCATCTGTGCTTGCAGAGTTGAGCAGACTCCAGGGACTGAGTTTCTCTCATCAAATCCCCTAGACACTAAATAGCGAACGATGTCTGCTTCTTTCCACAAGAGACTTTAGGCCCCTATACGGAAACAAAGTCCAAAAGTGTGTGTATGTGTGTGTAACTGATTGGGAGTAATGCCAACCAGACCAAAGACAAGCAAGATCACCCAGAGAAAGCAGCGCCTGCTGTCATCCATCCTGGGAGGGTGTGCCCCAAGCTGGGTGGTTTTGTCAATTCACACCCACCAGCCCATTCTCTGGACTTGAAGTTTTAAAAAGTCCTCATGTCAAACTTAATATTAGGGTTAGAGAAGTTAAAACACAAATGGGACTGGCATGTAGTGGACTGTTTTCCAAGGAGGATGTTTCAATTAATAAAAACAATCTTAGTGTCAGCATCATTCATAGAATAGTAGATATTTGTGCCTCTAGCAGGAGGCTACAGTCCTAAGTTACATGGCCCCAAGCCCACACGGTCCTTCTCTTTGCTATTTTAGTTCAGAGAGAAGGGGGTGCAGCCCTCAGGACAGGAGGTACCTCTGGTCCAAGGCTCTGAAATGCCTTCCCCACTCAGAGCTGCATTGACCAAGGGTGGCTGCCATGAACACTGAGGGGGAAATGACAAAGGGGAAGCTGTTGAAACAGCCCTGAGGCCAGCACCCACTGTGCCGCACCTAGGAAGCCAGGAGGAGAATGGTCTGGCAGGGAGCATGGGCAGCATCTGCTTCCATTTGCTCTCCACCCCCATGGGATTTAACAGAGTGTGTGATGTGGGAAGTGAAGCAGTGCCCAGGCAGCCATGAGAGGGGGAGTCAAATCTGGGCCTCATGCTCTCAGCGGCCGGTGCACTTAGTGATTCAGGCTTCTACTGGGAGAGAGGGGCCGAGGGCAGAGCAGCAGGTGCACAGATGTTGTGGCTGGGGGCAAAGTCTTCCCTGCAGGGAGGCGCTCATAATTTTCCATGTGGATGAAGCGTTTTTTAACCAAAGGCCACCATCCAGGCACACAATGAACAGCTGATTTTTTGAAAAACAGTCCCTTTCTGACACAATTCTCTCTACCTTGGGGAAGATGGTGTGATGTTGGAGCTCTGCACAGGGCTCCCCCCACATTTTCCCTGAGTGTCTGCTCCCTAGGAGCAGAGCAGGATGTGGGGAAGCTGAGAATGAACAGGTCCATCTGCTGGGCACTGGGCTGTGTCCTTGGAAGAGGGTAAAGACGGTTCCTGATCAGGTCATGTTAAGTGTCTTCTAGGAGTTCCTTCAGAAAAAATCATGCACCAGATCATAGGTAAAAGATGGAAACGGCAGAGATTGGAAATCCCTCATCCAGCATAGAGAAATCACTCTGGAAGGAGGGGTGAGTGGATCGGAGGCCTGGGAAGCACGAGACAGCACAGTCTTTCCTTGGGCAGGTGGACGCTCTACATGACCACAGGCAGAGCAGCTGCTGCAGGGCCTGAGGCTCATACAACATGGGGGATTTCTGTATGAAAAATAGAGCAATATTAGCAATACAAAAGAAAGCACAAAAGTTAATGTTTATTTAGGAAAAGAAAATAAATTATGGCAAAAATACTCACTTTTTAAAACACTGAGATATACTGCAAACACCCACAAAATCCGGAACATAACAGACATCCTAGTGCAATCAGCCACCAAAATCAGTACTGTAGTCAACACACTCACTATTGGGTTACTGCAATAAGGGAATAAAGTCACAACAAGGATCCTCAGATGACTCAACAAACAAGAGAAAAATGGTTATCACAGGATTGGAGGAAGGGATTTTGAGGCTGGATTGATGCACTCAGAGCATGGCAGGCCTCTGTGTAAAGGAGCCAGGGTCAGGTGTGGACTGCAAAGTGCATCCAGCTCCTCCAACATCCTCAGAACCCATAAGGTTCAGGCAGATATGGAACGTTCCGTCCAGAAACCCCTTCTCTGCAGCTCTGTGCTTCTGTGTAAAGATGGACCCAGATCCTCCAAGCAGTGGGATGTTCTTCTCAGTCATAAGCAAAGATTCTGACATCCCTGACGCTAGAGAACAAGGTCTTCCATTGAGTCAGAAAGCAGCTGTCAGCCAAGGAAGAGATTGCTTGACATTTCAAAGCTGCAGCTTGAGAGAAACATGGTTTCCTGTTCATGCCACTGGCTTTGACCCCGTCAGTCCATCCATCCACCCTGCAGATGTAAGGGCAGATTTGCCCTTCCTTAATCCACACGATTTTTACTCTCATATAATGTTTTTATTTAATTAACTAGTTGACACAACTCTGTAATATTTTCTCCCTATGTTTCCATATTCAGCTAATGAATCACTATTTGCCTCATCATAAGACATTGAATTTGTAACAGAACTTTTATAAATACAGCAGAAAGATAAACCAGTCTTTCCACTAACAGCTTGATGATTTGTGAACTTAATGGTTCATAACATCCTTTTTCTGCTTCAAAACTCATATTGGTAATATCAGGCAATATTTCCTGATTGTTGTCAAATTCGGGAAAGCCTCTTGCAGTTTCCTTTCATATGTGAGCTCTAAGATTTTAGTGCTGTCTAAATTTTCTAGACATAAGATTGACGATCTTAAAGACTCTTTGTATTAACAATGCTCAGTAACACAGCAGTTTTAAATGGTCACTGTTGTGTGGTGAGCTTCAAAATTGTGCAAATGTATCATGATGTGCTATGTTGATGTGCTCATTGAACGTGCAGGAGTTGGTCCTGGAAGAAGTATCTCTTCAAGTCATCTCACCTGTTGGTCACGGTTTTACATCCCTGTTGCCTGCAGCTGGGAGGGTCATCAGGATAGAGGGGAGGGACGTCAGCCCCGTCCCTCCTGTCTGTGCCACTCACACACATATGGGCAGACTCTAGTATTCTTGCATAGTGAGTGGGCAAAGGGGGATGTGAGGGAGGAGACAAATCCACCAGCCACAAAAGTAGAAGGAGATGTGAAGAAGAGGTGAGGGAAGGAGAAACCATGCAGAAGAAACCGCAGAGGCCTTGGGACCTGCTGAGAGGCTTTCAGCCACATGTAAACTAAGTCCCTAATTAAAAATGTCTTGAATGCAAAGAGAATGCTGTACCCTCATGATAAGAAGCCCCTGGGTGAGGCAGTAGCAAGGTGGTTGCAACAGCTCCAGACATCACATCATCAACACCAACATCCAGAGGCAGAAAGAGCCTTGGGAAGAGCCTCTGTTCCACACCTACTTCCTAAATGTGAGGAGGCTCCTCCCTGGCTCACCACCCCTGCAGTCTCATTGGCTAGGGCTGGGTCACATGCCCACCCCCTACACCAATCCCTGTTAGGAATTCACATCATCCATTGTGTCACCAGCACTCAGTGAAACCTGTGGGTAGGATGGCAGCATCCTGGTAATAGCACAAACTTCAGATGATCAAAACGATGACATGACTGGAGAGGGAATAAATAAATTATGCACACACATGATGGAGCTATCATTAAAAAGAATTAGATAGCAATAAATGTGTTAAAATGAAAAAAATTTAATACACTTTGAATATATTATTTTATAGAAAACAAGATCTATATGGCATGTTAATACAAAGCTCTTTCCAAAAACGAAACTAAACACAGGTGTATGTGTGTATATAGACATGTACACAGACATAAACACATATCTATACATACAAACACATCCCAGGGAAGGAGAGAGAAAGAAAGGGGGAGAGGATGAGAAGAGAGGAGAAGAAAAAGCAAGAGGAGAAGAATTTTGCATTTTTCTGTTTCATTTGAATGTTATTACAATGTGTATATGTTCTAATTATTTTAAATGTCATCCATGGGTATTTGGGTGATGATATAGGTTGTTTTTCATTGTACCTCTCTATGTCTGCATTTTAAAAACTAACAAACCCTATGACTAAATGTCTATTGGTGTGGTTGGCATGCCTGCATATGCTTAATAGCACATTAATTACGAGTGAATCAGGAGTTGATTTTCAGCATCGGGGGCTTCCCCTGCCCCCTGAGTTGCAAAAGTCATTCAGTATTCAATACATTTTTCCTTGGTTTTCATGACACTGACTATTTCTGGATAGATTCTCTCTCAGCTACACTGTGAGCTCCTGGGGAAAACAGAGTATCTTCGTTCACATTCCCTAAGGAGCGTTTACTAGCAAAGAGCTCACCATTCCTGTGGACACAATGATTGCAATTAGCAGGTGGACTCCAGCTGGATTTAGAGTGCTTGATCTATTTCATTCTCCTGTATTCTACTCCCATTGAATGTAAGGAGGAGGTAGCCTGCTGCTCAGTTACGTTGAAAGTAAGAAACATCCAAGTTTGAAGAGGTTGGTCTGCATTTAATTTCAGCACAAGTTTAGAGCATTCCATTCACATCTCAGCACCCATACTTACACATTGAAATGGTGCGCAGTCAGTGATCTCATTAGGAATCTGATGAAAATTGTAGAAATGCTGTGTGTGTGTGCACATTTCGGCATAAACACATTCATAAACTTCAGAGTACAATGGAGTTTCTACAAGCTCTCGATGAACTGTCATATTAAGGGACTTTGTTCTGGAAACCTCACCAGCCATTGTCAATTCCCTTCCTCTTGCCTGTCCCTGAGTGCAAAGACTGAAAGTATCAGGAAATGGACCAATGGACCAATGGACTTCCAAGCCTTCGTCACCCCTGGGGAAATAGAGCTCAAGTCCAGCCAACAACTGCTAAGCACTCGGCCAGGTTACTACTAAGAGAGTATCTGCTGGATAAACAGAGAAAGGCCCCTGAGGAGAGTTCTCTCTGTCTGTCTCTCTCTCTCTCTCTTTATCTCTCTCTCTCTCTCTTTCTTGCTCCTCCCTCCCCCACCCTCCTCTCATGACCTGTGACCTCCTCCTGCTCCTGCTCCTCATCTTTCCGGCTGTAGTGTGGGACAGGATGCCTAGGGCTATGGTGTCCAACTCTGTGAACACCACCCCCACGACCTTTGGTAAATAACCAGTGTCGTCATGGTCATGGGAGAGGCGGCCAGTGTTTCTCAGGACTCCTGCTACCTGCAACCAGGACGCTCCTAGGAGAGATGGAGCTGACACATTACTGTCAGTCCCACAGCCAGGGTGACAAATGAAGCTTACTGTGTGACAAGAACATAATTAAGCTGAAAAGTACATGACCTGACACCTTATCCTCAACCTACCTCCTACTTATTTACTTAAGAGTACAAGGGGTTTCTGGTACCTGCCCAACCTTCCTCATCAGATGGATCAAAGAAAATTATATGAGTGAAAATATTTTACCAAGTCCAATACAGATGGACACTTTGGTTTGCATTTCACTAGGGATGAAGAGGGGAAAAAAGACCCAGCTGAGCAAGAGATTTTTGGGAACAAGTAACTTTCCAGATGAAGCATTGGTTTTCT